GTACATTTCTTTGAACATCCTTCTAGCATAAAGGTTTCTAATCTACATAGATTCTTAATATCCAACTCCCAATATGGAAACATTTCCATATTTTCCATATGACAACTCATTCGAAAAAGAATCCTATCTATTTATAATAATGCCAATATGTTCCATTCAATTCTTTACTTCCAACTGCTCACAAACGACCAATCCTTAGCGAACCTTAAATCGTCCTTGACAGGTGTTTAATTATTTCAGTCATATCCGGTTCTGGTCCTTTTTCCCTCTTAATGCCCTAGGCATTTGGAAAATCAGAACAGTTGAATCATTACAGCATATGTAATCGATCCTATACTCGTAGCGTATGGGATACAATACATAATGTCTCACATAAAGACGTGATACTTTACCAGTCTCTTGCTATAATATTGCCATATATATATAGAATTCCCTTATGTTGAACCTTTTCAACATAACATTCATATATATCCTTTGACTATATTTGATTAAAATTTCTCGATCTAAGCTTTTAGATTAGAAATGAAGTATAAATTTCTCTCCCTTAATTATAGCAAAAAAGTTTTCAACCTCTACAACTTTACGAATTGAAACTTGTGTTTACTATAATTAACATTGCTAACTCGCAACATAATAATCATGCTCCCGCTAACATGATGATTATATCTTTACCAGCATAACACTCATGTTCCCACTAGCTTTGACATTTATTCAGAAATTAGTTGGACTTATAGAAATCAATACTTATTGATTTCTTTACCAAAGTTCATATTTCTTATACGAGACGCTTCGATAAATCTTTATCTAAGCTCATACACCATTCAGAAAGCTCATATGTATGTCTAAACTATTTCAGAACTTATAACAATAAGTCTTAAATGTTCAAACTATTTGCCAAACCTCACAATTCGAACTATGATGAGGGATGTCGTAATCATAATCGAATTTGAGAATGCAAATATCACAATCACTATCTCCTTAAAATATTCTTAGTGAAAGAGTTTCCTCACAATCATTTTCATGAATTGGAGAGAAACCTTATGACACTTAGATTTTATGGTGTGTGTGTTCCTATCCACGTGAATTTTTTTAATTCCAACCATTATCATAAGACAAGGTCTATGACAAAATCAAACTTATATGGACTGAACTTGTTCAATCTCCATTTCTTGCCACATGGAAGCACAAGTGCCCACCATGTCTTCCAAGTTATTTAGCAGCTCACCCATACAAGATCAATGTACTTTCCATTGATCAAGGTGCTTTGCCTTTATGCATTCAAATGAGAACTCATAGAGCTCACATGCATAATCAACTCAACTGTAATGGCACAGAAACAAGAATATGTCAACACGATAGGTTATAAACCTCAAGTCGTGTGCTAGTGATTAACAATAGGTTTACTCTTGATAAGTTCTTGAAACTTTTCAAGATCTTTAAGACTCCCACTGACCTCTTGACATATAAGATTTTCTTGTCAAGAAACGTTCTTTGACAAACAAATATTTAAGAGTTAGTGTGGGTCCTTATCAAGACAAACACTTCACATAATTGGTTTTAGTTGGTCTTTGTCTTATCCAAGACATCACAACTTACCAATTTTCAAATGCGCAAGAGTATTAAACATTTCTTACTCCACATTCGATTAGTTTTATAAACCTTTACTCAAGTCACAATTTTGGAGTATGACTCTAAGACTCGATTTTGGAACGAAGTATGATTCACCTTTTGATTTAACCATTGCAACAATTTCCAATTCCTCTTCTTAGCCATACAAGTGCACTAAGGTGTCCTTAGAGGATCAATTGTGATATGGTTTCATAGAGACGATCATAAAACATGATACTCAAGTACTCTACCTTCTTTTCAGATTGGAGAAACTTTTATCTTTCTGCCTAATTGATTCTTCTTATTCGTTAAACTATTCATTGAAACTTTTCCAATGATTCAGAATTGCACTTAATCTTGTAAGTATAACCATGTTTACTAAACTTTTAGTAAAACATGACAAACAGTCTTATCGTTATTTGTGGTGGACTTGATCAGTGCACAACAATGTGTACTAAATCCTTTAGTCCTTCACTTGACTCTTTGTCAAAGAATTAGTCTTCATTTTCCAAATACAAAGTTTCTCATTCATCATACAATACCAGTTGCATGATTCCAAGTTTCTGTCCATTTGAAACTTGGGTGATGAGAATCTTTCTTTATTTGGTAAATTTTAGACACTACCATAAATGAAAGAATCAAATTCACTCACAATATTGCTAACAATAGAAATATACAAACACCAATTTTCACAAAAGTCATTTCAAGGATATATATAAATAAAAAAAATAAAAATTTATTTTATTTATAAAAACGCGGAACAACTTGTCCTTACAACACAATTAAAAATGAAAACTATGTAAATATTCCTAAGCAATCTATCATAACTCCTAAGTAGCAGCTCAAAAATCTGATCATCAAACCATGCGATCGAAATCCATTTCTTCGTGATCAGACTCAGCATGCTTCTTCCTTTAAGCTTCCTTTCTTTTCTTCGATCCTACAAAACATCAAAATGCAATCTTATCACATCATGTATTAAGAATCTACAAACAGGAACTTAATAGAGTCGGATAGTGGATTTTACCTGAAGCAGAGTCATACATCTTGACTATCCCATATCTTAGATCTCTCAGGTAGTTAGGGTAGCTTCGTAACCAATGCCCCTTCTCTTGGCAGTAGAAACACACAGACTCTTTGGGAATGGCACAAGGGACAATCTTAGAATTTTCCTTTCTCTTATGGTCGAACCTTTTGACCATGGCAGATTTCTTTCCCTTAGGAGAAGAAATCCTTTCTGGACTATCGTTGTCATTGCCTATGTCCATGGAAGTTTGGGAGGTTGATCCACCAGTCAAATTTACTTTACCAGTGCGCCAAATCATTGCTGATTCATCAGCAATAAGCAAATAAGTAAGATCAATGAGGGTCACGTCGTGGTCTTTTATATAGTAATCATCAATGAACTCACTATACGACTTAGGAAGTGATTGAAGAACCAAGTCAACAGCCAACTTCCTTGAAATTTCGACACCCAACATTCCCAACTTGTCAATGTGCAACTTCATCCCTAGGACGTGAGTACATATAGACTTTCCATCTTCGTGTTTGCTTTCCAAAAAGCTTTAGTGACCTTGTACTTTTCAAGTCTTCGAACACGTGGGTCAGGGAGAATTATTGGAGGAGGTCGAGGAAGTGAAGCATGATTTCCATTTCCACGATCTAATCATGGAACATCATCTTCAAGTGGAAAGCTTTTTCCAAGGGATTCATGAAGACCATAGTTGTTAGATTTTGACATCTATAAAAGGGAGAAAATTCAAGTTAGTTGATAATAGTCCTTAATATGACACCTAAATGAAATATCATGGCTAGGATCCAACACAATGTTCTACAACTCGGAAGAGGGATGCCGTAATCCAATTGCAGAATATTTGAAGGTAGGTAAATGACGATTTACCAATTTCCACCATGAAAAACGAAAATGAAGTTTAAG